ATATAATATATATAATATAAATATATACTGTATATAATATGTTTTCCAGACTTCCACCCAGCCAGTTCCATTAGTGGATTTCTCATTACTGCATTATGGTAGCACTTTTTATATTTGGAATTACAAATTTGGTAGATTTGTTTGTTTTTGTTTATTCAGGAAAGTAGATTTGTTTGTTTTTGTTTATTCAGAAAAAAGAAAATTGTGACCCAATGTATCAAATATGATACAAATTGAAACTCATATATGGAAAATTATATTTGAATTTTTTTGTTTGTTTGTTGGTTTAATGGGACTAATAAAGGGTCCAAGTTCAAAGAATTGGAATTTTTGTCAATCATTTAATGGTTTGGGCTTTACAGGGTTAATGGGTGCAGGTTTATTTTATTGTGTGCAAGCTTTGAATTTAAAAATGTGTTTACTTTCTCCCTTTCTGTCTTTTTCAGACCAATGGTGAGCAGCAGTCAAAGATTAATGAACTCCAAGAGAAGCTTGCCAAGGTAGAAACTTTTGCTTGAAAGGCTAATTAATAATTTATAACCACTTGTGTTTAAAAAGGCAGCAGATATAACAGTCCTGCTCTTCATCACAAGTCTCTGCACTGTTACTTAACCATCCCTGACCTTTTTTGTCCTTTATTTTAGTTTCACAACAATTTCTTCTGTCTTTTAGACCTTCACTTGTTAATTGTCTATTTGTGGTTATTCAGTCAGCTTTTACACCATTAAGTATTAATGTGAATTATCTCACAATTGCAATTTCCTATGAATTATTATACAAAAATATTATTTTGCTAACCTTTGGCAAAATTTTATAATATGCATTTCAAAACTACCTGGGTTAATTAGCTGATATATTGATAAGAATGCCCAAGTCAACTTTCTAAACTAGTACAATTACAGCTAAAAAAATTATCTAAAAGTTATCTCATAATGTTTAAATTATTTTTGTATCTACTAGTCTCATCTATTTTTTTGACATTAAGGCATCAAAGGCGAGCTCCGAGGCCACAGACCTGCTGCAGATAATGAGAGTGGCCAAAGAGAGGATGGAGCGAGACCTGGAGAGACTCCAGAACAAGGAAGCTTCCACTGACAGCCTGCGCCGACGCCTACGGGAGACAGAGGTCCTAACACACAAAACAAATAAAAACACGGCAGCCTTCTCTCTACTGTGCTGCACTGCACGTCCTGTGTGTCTCATTATTCTGCTCATTATGTTATTGGTCTCTTTACACAATCAAAAATCTTTGTCGAATGTGTTGTGTAAATAAATCTGGTAAACTGTTAAACACAAGCGTATTTCATATTGTATGTCTCTGCTAAACATGCTGTTTCATCATTCACTGTGGAAACACTTGTGCTGTGATGTGACGACAACACTGTCACAGTTTATCAGATTTTTCAAGAGCAAAGCCACTTGAAACACTTGTGCTGTGATGTGACGACAAAACTGTCACAGTTTATCAGATTTTTTTTAAGAGCAAAGCCACTTGTTGTTCACTTGTTCTTTTGTGCATTTGTTAACTGTTAATGAGAGTGAATGTAGTCTAATAGAAGAGCCATCAGAACACTATGTCGACTGGGAGCAAAGAGACAAATGTCTATAACGTGCGTGTTCAGTATCACTCTCGAACAATCTTTTTAGATTTATTTGGGAAGAGGGTTCACATATACTTTTCTGGATTTTGGAACAACTGTGAGGAACTTTAATTAATGAGACGTAAACATTGAGAGAGGTGCAGCGTTAATAAGCCAAGAACCAGAACAGCTGCTGCAGTGTTACATGAGTTCTTCCTTAGAGGAGATTTCTTTACAATTAATCTTAGAAAAAGTGTTTGATGTCCACGAAGCAGAAAGAGTCTTCTGACTGGAGGATTTATTATTTTTTTATGGACATAAAAAAGAGACATTGCTTAACTGAAACCTACGAGTATGTTCTCATTGTTTTGTTTACAGGATGGAAGGAAGACCCTGGAAAACCAGGTCAAAAGACTGGAAATGGTTGAGACAAAGATAAAGGATGAAATCCAGAGCAAGACCCAACAGATTCAGCAGATGGCAGATAAGATTCTGGTGAAAAAAAAAACCACGCACACACACAGACACACCTCTTTGAAGCTGTGTGTGAAGAACTAAAATATGCAGAACAGCTGTGAGAAAAACATGATTTACTGTCACAGTTGCAGAAATGTTGTGCTGTATTATTGTTGTTATTAATCTACATGTAAACCGTTATTTTTACACGGGTCGGAGGTTGTCCTATATATGCAATAAAAATAGTAATAATAACCTCTCCCACTCATTATTTTCTCATTTTAAACCTATGAAATACTCACACAAGTGTTTTCAATTAGCTTCTACATCAGTGTAGGTGCTCATAAGGCTTAGTATAAAAAGGCTTCAGGCAGCTGAGTGGTCATGACAGACTTGCCGAAAAGAAAGAGTTTAAAGAACAGATAATCACCTAAAAAACAAAAAAGGGCATTCAGCCACCACCCTCCACACACACACCCCTGCCTGCCGCCAATATTTATTTATTTCATACAGTTCTAAAACTGTGTTCTCCCTTTACTCAGAAAAGTATCAAAAAGTATCCAAACACACGATGGTAACAGTATGGATACCAAAATGTTGGTAGCATGACAACACTACAGAACACCATTCATTTCTTCAGTTATGGTCTAAACACAAAAGACTTGTTTCCTCATAACTGAATCTGAGTCCAAAACACATTCAAAATCACTAACATATACACAACAACCACATCTAACGCAAAACAGACATGACTTAAATGCAGCATCAATCCAAAGCATGCTGGGAACTCCACCCACAAACACCCCAACACAATATTTAACATTTAGTGCCAAAAATATTTGTGATTTTTATGCAGGAGCTGGAGGAGAATCTTCGAGAGACTCAGGCCACGGCTCAGCGCTTCGAGACTCATCTGAAGCAGAAGGAGAAGCTCTATGAGGACAAGATAAAGGTAGGTTTTCAACAGTTATACACTTTATTTCACCAGAATAGATGTGCTGTGCTAAATTAAGTGACGGAGCTTTGGATGCTTAAGTTGTGTCCTCTTTCCACTGTTCTTTGTCCATTCTGGTTTGGCTCATGTGGGCTGTCTGTGGAGCAGGTGCTGGAAGCTCAGATGAAGGCAGACATGGCAGATAAGGAGATGCTAGAGTCCAGTCAGAGCAAGTATGAGGAGGAGGTGCGGGAAAAGTGCAGCATCATCAGTGAACAGAAGGTGGTAAGGGCTGACCAGCCAGGCAGTGACACTATTTTAGGCTTATTTTAACATGTATCACACTGACATAGATTTGTGCTGCAGAGTGATGTAGGGTAAGGAGTCTCAAACATTTCTCAGACCTGCAGCCAGACTTTTAGCTGGGAAAAACTTGGTCACAACAGCCTGTAGTAAAAAAGACTGATACATTTTGGTTTCACTTTTGCAGTATTTACAATAATTTGACTGAAAACTACATAAAATGTGGCACTTTGGCCTAGAGCAGGGGTGTCAAACTCATTTTCACCGGGGGCCACATCATCAATACAGTTCCCCTTGAAGGGCTGGTTGTAACTGGAAGACTGTATAGATCAGGGGTCCACAACCCCCAGTCCTCGGACCAGTACCAGTCCATAGGTTATTTGGTACCGGGCTGCAGTGGGACACAATGAAAAAATGTACTTAATTTTTTACTAATTTACTTCATTCAAAGAAAGTCCAGTCATATTCACTTACTTTCTTTATTAAAGATAATCTGGCAATAGATCTAATTTTGAAATAATAGGTCATTCAGACTCTGATACAAACAGAATAGA